CAGAAATATCAAATATTTCATAGTGTCAAACATATTCCTAATAGACCAACCTTGAGTGTATTTAATAAGCTGGGATCGATTTAAGATTCTCATTTTTCACTATAATGACGGAAGACAAATAATAGCGACTTAATATTTTAACGAGGGATTTAGAATGCCATGGTCTCATCATATATATATATATATATATATATATATATATATATATATAAAAATAATGGACTCACAATTATACATAGGAAAAATTCACATTTCAAGTAAACTTGGCCCTCGTTTGGCCCCCATTTTTTTTTTCAAATTTTAATGTTTAGAATATTGTTTTTTTTTAAATGTGTGGTTGAAAAAAAATGAAATGGTTTAGATTTAGCAGGTCCAAAAATAATAAAGAGCTCGCAGGCCTATAACAACAATAATACTAACGGACTCGTAGGTCCAAAACAATTAAGAACTCGCATGCCCATAAAATGCAAAAATTAAATCAATCATTCAACACATCCATATGGTCAAGTCCATAATCATCCATTAATAGACATTCATCACATAAATGTTTCCTATATAATATCTAATATTATATACAATGTCTCAAAAATCTAGCAATTATAGTCGTCAAAACTTATCTAAATAAATGAATCGAAATAATTATTAATTAATTAACTCAAATTGCGGGCCGATTTAATTAAAGTCAAATTTTAATTAAATCTCGAAATAGAGTCTAACTCTAATTCCATAATTATTGCGCGATGTTATTTAATTGAAATCAAATTTTAATCAAATATTATATTAGAGTCCAACTCTAATTCTTTAAAATTTTAGGGTGGGATAATTAAAATCAAATTTTAAGTATTTACAAAATTAGAGTCCTACTCCAATTGCAATATATACATTGGGGAAATAATTTTAATTAAAATCATATTTTAATTAACACGAGATTAGAGTCCAACTCTAATAAAATTGAATTAACATTTTAATTTATGAGAAAATTCCTAAATAAAACAAAATTCAATCTAGGGTTAACAATTAAATATTTAAGTTAATATTTAATTTTAACAAAAATGTTAAAGTCGTCAATTTTAAATAAAATCTTAGTTTTGGGCCCAAATTAAAACATGGGTCAAACCCAATTAGAATCACTATTTTAAAACCCATTTAAAATTTAAATTCAAAACCCATTTTAAGAATTACAATTTAACCCAAGTTAAAATTAAAAACAGGCCCCTCAACTATCCAATTTACATGACAAGTCCTTTATTTAAAATTTTCAAGACAACTCCCCAAAATAATTTGCATACGTGGCTTGCAATTTCATAAATTGCATTAGAGGCCCCTGTCTCCATCACCCTAAAGAAAACCCTAACCTTAAAAATTTGTTTTTTTTTTTTTGGTTTTACCTTATTCATCTGTCGCGGCGGCAAGACCGACGCCGATTGCCCAGCGGCGGCAAGAGCTTTTCTCGCTACTTATATGCAGCGGCAGAGTGCTACGCCGCTACACTCTGCAGCGGTGGCAACGACAAGCCGCCTGATCTAACCAATATATATTTTTTTTTTGTTTTTCAAAATCAAAATTTAAAGAGATATAAATACATTAATTGCTAGATTCAAGAACATCATGAAAAATCAATTTTTGATTTCATAAACATGTAAATCAATTTCTAATAAATACAAAGTAGACTCTGATACTACTGTAGGGAATTTACTTATCATGCACAGCGAAAATAAAACGAATTTCAATTTCCACCATGATTCATCTTTATATTTAGATAGAAATAGTAATAAAAGTTGTACATTTTCTTGAATCTGCAAACTCATTTGCTTTATCTTTGCTCCAACAATTCGAATTTGCCTCCCACAGCTGTCCACTTATCCAGCCTTCAATAAATCCCGCACAAAGAGTAGATTGCAGCCACCAAGATTTTCTTCTCTTGTGCTAGTAAGAATTATGAGAAATCTCTACGAATAGAAAATCCTAGCCAAGTATTTATATAAGCCGCCCAAACGGGCTTGGCCAAATTTGGTCCAATATTTAATTAATCCATTTAATTAAATCCAGTCTGTGAATTAATTAATCTAATTAATTAATTCGGGCCTATAAATAACCAACCAAATTAATTAATTTATCAACGATTGTTAAATTAATTAATTTACAAATTATAATCTTCCAATTCTCTTTTGTGTGTAACCCATCAGGTTCCCGATCATGATATCTAACAACGTGAAATATTATTTTGATCTAATCAAAATTGAAAAATTAAAACAACCTTCTAATTTATCACCAATTCATACTTGCCGTCCCAGATTGACATCTAGCAATGTTTCAGGGTAATACATGTGATGAAAAATGTCACGTGGTATGACAAAACCAAACTTGTTTGTTTACCATGAAACTATAATCCTTTCGTCAATATGATCCAATCATTTACGAGATATAGAAATGTGTCAATCTCAATTATTGATTATATCTTTCATTCAACTATTAAATCAATATAAGTCGAAAACTCATTTTCGACTTCTGAGTATACCTTGGCCAATGATTTCGTTATCAACTTAACTGAATGAAATGCAGGTCACAATCTCTTACTATTTGAGAATGACGAATCCTTTATTGGTCAATCGCATTCTTCACATGATTCTTGACATACCCGAACAATGCCGTATTAGCGACCATTGACAGAGCAACATCCAACACATTCAAAGCATCACTATTCTCATACAAGGTACTATGGCGACCTCAAGTCAAAGGACCAATTTCGTTATCGAACGTTAGAGATTAACCACTGATACTCAGATAGTTATCCATGTGAAATCTTTTAGCGGGTCTTCAATGTTTCGTTCTATAACAAAACATCCACGCGTTCATTTAAGTGTCACCAAACTTTGGCTTATGAGATCAGTAACTTACTTCACAAGTGAGAAATGCCACACGTGATGATCTATCAATAATAACAATATTCGTATCTCACTATTATTTATGACCATGGTTTATTCAAGATCCAATCATATGTAATTTGCATATCACAATCACAACTTCTTGTGATTAACAAATTACTTAAACTTGAATCTTTGGACTTTATTATTTAATATTATTTATTAAAATATTAATTTAAAAAAATAATAGATCTTGCCAAAAATAAATGCATTAAACATATTAAAAGTATTTACAACCTATATGGATTGGATATAGTGCATAACACTTACACTTTCTGCTAGAAAGTAAAAGGAAAAATTGGAGAAAAATATTAATTGTTTTTAGCATTTTACAAAAGAAATACATACATGAATTTATATGCAGATACAAATGGAGATGTTAAAACCTTGACGAATGTTGAAGAGCTTGGAATGATGATCGAGGAAGCCATTACAAATTGAATTCAACCAGGGAGGGATCCAGGATTTTCGATAAGGGGGCTGAAACTTAAGAAAACCAATAATGAAATTTATATTACAATAAAAATGAGAGACTTCTAAGTAATCCTATATTGCCTATACCATTTTTAATAACTGAGAAGTCAGAATCTTGGATTCGGTCTTAATTCCATCTCTTATTTCCTAATCTCATTGACTCCATAAAACAAAGTAGAGAATTCTAAAGCCAAGAATGCTGCCAATTGAAAATATTGTAAAGTGAGTAACCATCATTTTAACTTGCAAATCATAAGAATCATTTATTTTTTAGCACAAAGAGAAAGATTATTTTGGTGTTACCACGTAAACAATCCTGGAATCAGTTCATTTGGAGATGATAGGGACTAGGGAACGGTCAGAGATACAAGACAATCCAGAATATAAGATGATGCTCATGAGCTTGTATTTTAGGATACCGGACCTGAAATTTTTGGGCGTTTAGTAAGTTGAACCATCGGGTCCAAATTTAATTATAGAATCATTCGGGTTTGGTTACCAGTCTCTGTGTTATAATTAAATATTTTACTATTTACAAAGTTATATTAATTCAACTAATGATATATACAATCTTAAGTCTTACAAAATAACGTAGTTCAATCTTATGTGTCTTTTACATTTTTCTTTGCTAAGTTCTTCGTAGAGTTGATTGTTAAAATCACAGGAAAATAAAGATTGTGAGCTCATAATAATTAATAAAGGCGTTGTCGAGCTTCTACTCGATTTCTCCAGAATAGTAGAAACGACACAACGGTAGAGTAATAGATTTGGATAAAATTTAGGCCAATTTAATTAAATTGGATTTGAACTGAAAATTAGAAATATGAAACTTATGTAGTTAGTAAATTTATTTAGAAAAATAAAATAATTTGATATATTTAAAATAAATTAATTAAAAAAATTTAGGGAGATTCGAATCTTATTCGATTTTTCAATTTTTGAACTAGAACCTAGAGTGTACACGTTGGAAGAATACTTTTCTATATCGGTATGATAGTTGTCCCTTCTTAGCAAGGAGTTACTGGATTCTTATTTCAATAATTAAATGAAACGAGGTAATCCCACGTTTATTTGATTAAACCAGTTGCTTTCAACAAGATTATTAGAATCTTCAATTACATCAATCTAAACAAGTTTTTCAAATGCTTCAATATTTAAATTCAAGAATACACAGACTGGAAACAATATTCAGTTATTTGCTATTGGTTTCGACAAGAGAGCAGCCGCCATGAATAATGTTAATCAAAGTGGAATCTCCAGTCCAAGCAGTATTGAGGTTGACGTTGATTTTTATTCTTTTGAATTTTCCTAAGTTCTCAAATTGTGCTGCTAGGAATTTAATGTTAAATATCAGGGAAAAAATATGGCAATGGTGGCTCCTTGGTTTAATTCTTGTACTTGGATCCCTTGTCTCATGGAATAGTTTGCTGACTATAGAAGATTACTACTATGATTTGTTCCCGGTGAGAACATCATAGGAAACCTCTTTATACCTTTTTAGCATATATCGATGTCTGTCCTGTCTTCAAATGGAATCCATATGTTCTTGTTTATCAACCCTTTGCATTTGTAACTGTGGCGATACTTATACTGAGGAAAAGATTGATACGAAACAGGGGCATAATATTTTTGAAAAAGTCGACGTGAAAAAAATTCACGTTTATAGTTGTTGCAATACAATACTCGTGTAGAACTCCAATATATGCACACAAATGTTTTGTGCAATTGAAGCTTTCCACCCTTAAAGAAACAAAAACTTCAAAGCTCCGACACAGAGTCACCGGCCAAAAAAAAGGGGAAAAGTAATAGATACAAACACATCAAAGCCCCTTAAAGCAGCATGAATCTAGATCCCCCAACCCTTGTTGGAAATATACGTTCCGCCATGGCATTTACTGAAGCAGAATCTGGCTTCATGAGATTGTACACATTGCGCCAGCGATATTTCCAATGGCTAGGGCTGCCTCAAATGCTTTAAATGCAACATTCCATTTGTTCTGAAGATATAATAAGAAAAAATTCCCAGTTTATTAAGATTTTTTTTCAAGCATATAACAACTTAAGAATGCAGAAACTGACCACTTTATTTGCTGGAACAATTTCTGTTGAAGTACTGGGCTTGGATTTGGATTATGTACATAGCATGAACAGTAAGTTTGCTGCCAGAAACAGTGTGAACCGTAAGTTTGCTGCCACAAAAAACAATTATCAAGAAAATTTTACTTTATTCTTCATGCCAAATTGGTAAGTTCTTCGTTAAATTATGTGACTAGTCTATGATAGTATGTACAAATCTCAAATTTTTCTATTAACAATTTATTTTGTGTCAAACACAACTTTATCTAGCAATAAATTGCCAAAATTAACACGCTGAACATCAAAGATATTTTTGCATGAACAATCAAAGTCTCAAACATAAAATATTGAAGATGGTACAATCTGAATGACACCTCTCCTGAATGAAAATTAACTTTAATAGGACATTATTGAAATGTGTTAGACATACCGTGCAGGGATTAATCTGTTTTGCCTGTGATAAATCTTGTTTGGCTTGGAGTATCATGTAGTTGTCCAAAAACTGAGTGCGACCATTGTGATTGTGATCACATTTAGTAGACCGATAACAATCACAGCATAGGGTGAAAGAGCATTCCACACACGAGAAAAATATTCCCGGTACAAACTTTGTACAAAAATCGCAAAATGGCCTTCTGCTTTTTATGATGTAGTATAAAGTCATTACCTCCCAAAAATCCAGTGAGCCATTCCCATCTCTATCTAACTCCTTGAAAAAGCTTAGATTATGCATCTGGTAATGGCCTTCCTGTTTCACGAATGCTAGGAACTCAAAAAAATCAATCCGGCCATCGCCATCACTGTCCATAGAATTGAAGAATTCATGTGCTAAATCCTGAACTTGTTGAGCACCTGCGTGATAATGAGCTCTTGCAATCTCGCGCAACTCTTCCATCTCTCTCTGTCAATTCATATAATCCAATATAAACGCCATTGGTCAAAAGAAACTATAGCAAAGCTCCAAATTAGTTAGCTAACCTTTGTGTTCAAATTTATAATTAGTCACCTAAGTTTTTTATTAAATTAAATCCATTAAAAGTGCGATCATCCCATGATTCATTGTTTAATGCAATACTGAGGCATTTTACAATGAGTCAATGAGCCACCGTTGAAGCACTGGGGCTTGGATTTGGATGATGTACATAGTGTGAACTGTAAGTTTGCTGCCAGAAAAAACAACTATCAGGAAAATTTTACTTTATTCTTCATGTCAAATTGGTAAGTTCTTCGTTAAATTATGTGACTAGTCTTTGATAGTATGAACAAATCTCAAATTTTTATATTAACAATTTATTTAGTGTCAAACACAACTTTATTTAGCAACAAATTGCCAAAATTAACACGTTGAACATCAAAGATATTTTTGCATGAAAAATCTAAGTCTCGAACTTAAAATATTGAAGATGGTACGAACTGATTGACACCTCTACTGAATGAAAATTAACTTTTATAGGACATCATCGAAATGTGTTAGACATACCGTGTAGGGATTAATCTGTGTTGCCTGTGATGAATCTTGTTTGGCTTTGTAGTTGTCCAAAAACTGAGTGCGACCATTGTGATTGTGTTTAGTAGACCGATAACAATCATAGCATAGGGTGAAAGAGCATTCCACACACGAGTAAAATATTCCCGGTACAATGTTTGCACAAGAATAGCAAAATGGCCTTCTGCTTTTTATGATGTAGTGTAAAGTCATTGCCTCCCAGAAATCCAGTGAGCCATTCCCATCTCTATCCAACTCCTTGAAAAAGTAACGATTATGCATATCGAAACGGCCTTCCCGTCTCACGAATGCTAGGAACTCAGGCAGATCAATCCGGCCATCGCCATCACTATCCATAGAATTGAAGAATTCATGTGCTAAATCCTGAACTTGTTGAGGACCTGCGTGATAATGAGCTCTCGCAATCTTGTGCAACTCTTCCATCTCTCTCTGTCAATTCATATAATCCAATATAAACGCCATTGGTCAAAAGAAACTATAGCAAAGCTCTAAATTAGTTAGCTAAATTTTGTGTTCCAATTTATAATTAGTCACCTAAGTTTTTTATTAAATTAGATCCATTAAAAGTGCGATCATCCCATGATTCATTGTTTAATGCAATTGTGAGGCATTTTACGATAAGTCAATGAGCTACTGCCACCTAGACTCATGATGATCACCAATGTTAGGTCTAAATTATGTAATTGGCAATTTCCTTAATCAAAATCGTGTTTTAGTTGAATTGTATTAGGAGGTAATCGAGTCAAATTCAAGATAGGATTTATTGAGTCTTAATTATAGTAAAAATAGTTGTGGGCTGATAGAGTTGTAATGGGAGTTGAAGACGATTAGAAGATCAAGAAAAGCGGACCTCTAGCTGCTGGTTAGCAGCTAGGATCAGCACTCAAATGGCGTAATGCAGAATGAAGCAGAACCATTGGCGCTTGCTTGGCGGTAACTGCCCTCTCGAGCGGCGAACTGATGCTCACTTGGCTCATACCTGGTCTCGAGAGGAGATACTATCTGTCCAGAATTTTTATTCGATTTTAATTGTGACTTTCAATCCCATTTCACCATATACACTATCCATTATAAATACACAAGCCATGGAACGTCCTAAAGTGTGGTTAAACATTATATTCATTATGGAGATCATTATTTGAAGATCATAAACTCATTTCAAAGATCTCTTGATTCAATCACAAATATATTCCATATTTGTTCCCTTATATTGTTTTTCATTGGTTGAGCCCTTGTTTTAAGTCAAGAGAACAATATTTGAAGATCCATTACATATTCTAATAAATCTATTGCTTTAGCCATAGATCAAAACACAAAGTTCAAACACTAAATAACTCTTTACCTTCATCTAAAAACCTTGAGAAATCTGAAGTTTAGAGAAGATGCACTTGAAGTTCTAGTGCTGAAGAATGAGGGTCGTTCTTCTCTGTCCAATTGGAGAAAAGTGGCCCACAGTTCCGGGAAGTGTGGGATTGCACAACCAACAGAGTTCCTCGGTAATTTACAAGTTAGGTGGCTAGAGTCAGCTAAAATTTGACAGTATTAGGACTAAATATAAGTTAACTTTTCTAGTAAATTGTTTACTCACAAGTTTGCCCGGAGTTTTTTTCTTTTATATATCTTGAGTTGGGATTTTCCTCCTTGATCAATCCTTGATGTTATTTATTTTATTGATTTGATCTGAATATTTTATTTGATTGACTGTTAGGATTAATTTAACTGACTTAATTACCTTAATCATCTACAAATAATTAATAGGTGATTTTTACTTATTTAGGAAAATCTCAACTGCTAAGAACGAATAGAATTACTCTTGACAGAAACATATAATCCTAGCTAACAGAATAGCTCATTGGAACTTAAAAAGCGTTTAGATTATTGTTTTAAATCTCAATTGCTCAAGTTGTATAATATTTTACCTTCTCTTGAGTCCTTTCTTCGTTTCCCTGAGGACTCATGAACCACTTAAGCAGAGAATGGCTATGGACGAAGTGGCTTATTGAGTGCTCGTGTTTGAATTCCCCTTTATCGTAACAGTCACAACAAAGGTCCACAGATTCGGGATATTTCGGTAGACATGTAAAGCAAGAAAAGAATTGGCCAAGTAGTACACCATTGCAACCACTGCAGACAAGAGATCGGTTTGTCGTCTTCTTGTAGTAAATGGCTAAATCATCATTAAATTCCCGAGTTCCCTCACCATTTGCATCGTGTTGTTTGAATACTTTCTCACTTGATAACCATGAACTCACAGACTCCTTGAACTCCAATAAGCATACTTTTCCATCCCCGTTACGATCCAACCTTTTTGCCGTGACCTTTTCCTCTTCAGTTGCTCTTTCATCGTAAGCTATGGCAAGATCTTTCTCCATCTCGCGCTCTCTCTCTCTCTCTCTCTCTTGTTGCAAATAGTTTTAATGAGAGGACAGAAAAAGGTCAGGAATTGTGTTTTTGCTTTGGAATTTTCAAACCCTCCACAGAAATCCTTATCCTTATCCTTACTGCTTAAAAGACTATCCACAAAATACCATTCATTCTTAGCTGCCTTTTGGCCTCCATTAAAATCAATTACATTACATTTTATTTTTTCTCTTATTTTCAATCACACAATTTTTCATAAAATAATATTATACGTAAATCAAAAATTTTTCCTTCTTTTTCAACCACTCATTTTTCAAAAAAACACTATTTCCCCCATTTTCATTTTCAGAAAATGGGGTCCAAAGGGGGCTTAAATTCCTCCTTTCACACATGATTTATGAACTTGGTTTAGCAATAGTAATGGGTTGGATTTGGGATTTATTGTTCTTGAAACCCAAGATCCGTTCGTACAAATCCTTTCGCATACGTTTGTTATCTTCTGTTCTTTTTTGTTGATTTTAAGAGGTTTTATCTCGTTCTTACGGCTCCTCGAATAGAAACCTTAGCGGTGCACTTGCGATTTTACTTTCGTCTCATGATTTTCAGATTTTCAGGTCAGATAGTGCTGTAACTTAAAGGAAATTTCAACCTTTCCAAATATTAAAGCACTTTAATTTGAAGTTTTCATATAAAATTAAAATATATGGTAACCTATATTTTAATGGTATAATTGTGGGGTTAAATTTATTCCTATAAAAGGGAGTTCTTTCATTTGAGAAAAACAACTTGAGATACAAGCAAAAATAAAATACTATATCTATATTTTATACTATATTTCTAGAGTTTGTGGCAACTTGATTGAATGCTCGTTCTTTATCTTCCTATGGTCATGCCCATAGAAGGAGAGGTACATGAGTTTTACCTTGAAGTCGTGTAGTGCCGAAAAAATCCGCACGACGGGGAAACAACAAGACTTTAGATTGTTGGAAAAATTGAGTGATTTGTATGTAGGTTTTTTTTAACAATTAACACAATAAAATAACAAATACAATTCAAGAATAATATAACATAAAATAGAGAGGAGATTTAGAAAACAAGTTTTGGGAGTCACGTCGATGACGTTGTCCTAAAGTCGTATTTGATTTGTACATAGATTTGTTTAGATTGTTTATAACTTCAACTGTGCTAGTAAGCTATGACACCTTTGATTTACATTCCGTGGTTTCTCGATGGTGCATGTTTTATATTAATAGCTGAATATTTAGCATTTGTCCGGATGCACTAAATCTTGATGAAATTTGATTTTTCTATCACATCAAATTGTCCTTGTTGATAAAATATGAAGCTGGTAGCAATGCTCAATTTGAATAACTTCTACACTACATTGCAAAGTCCTTATTACCCTTTCCTTCTTAAATTCAACATTCACCGTACATATTAAAAAGTAGCCACAATTGTTGACTACATTAAAAAAATAATAAAAAATAGGGGCAATAAGTAAACGCTAGTAGACAAATGTACAATAAATTGTATCAAAATCTGATAAATTTACTCAAAAAGCAACACCAGATAGGGGGCCTATTCAATGTTTACCCATGATTGATTCATTGAAGAATTTTCATTGATATCAAGAGCAATTGTATCCAGGTAACTCCTAGGAGTCATAAAGAATGTACTTAATTGATATTTTAGAAAAAGTTTAATTGTAACTCCTGTGAATGATAGTGGTGTTATTATTATCTAATTTAGAAATGTAACTCTTATATTGATGTTGAGTAACATATAGTACTTCAATGTAGTATAATCAATTTTGATTTAAGTTTCAAAAGCTTTATATATTAACAATTATAATACGTTATTTGGTGTTTAATTAATTTTAAGATTATATGAGCCTTCATATTTTAAGTTATCAAGCAAAAAATGATGGCCGATCAAATATGCTTCTTGGTCATTATAGGCACATTATGGTGATTAATACTAATCCGTCTTTCTGAAATGATATGTGAATACAGATTTTATGCTTATATATACACGTATTATATGATTGATGCTTGAAGAAAATATTTATAGATACTAATAGTGCAAGGGCCTAGTGCTTACCTCTCTTAGAACAAGTATATAGAGATCATTGCGAATATCTTAACGGTTTAAATGTTCTCTCCATCACCTTAAAACTGAAATGGTGATCAGGAAGATTTATTATAATTTATTAATTGTACTATTTCAAAAATGAGAATCCAGTTTGGTGGCATTGTTAGTTAAGTTAGACTTATGTGGTGTCAAAATTGGTTTTGAATTATTTCAAAATGAAAATGTGGCAAAGGATGCAGAAAATTTTAAAGGAGAAAATTCATAATGTGATGTTAAATAATTACAATGCATTTTCTTATATTTTCTTAGATATATTGGTCATTATCTGGGTTGTAAGAAAGAAAATTAGGTACATTAATTCCTGATAGAGCTACATACAAAATGTATAATTTGATTTGCCTCAAGGTAAACTCTACAAGGTAACATCCTCTTAGTTAGTCAGACATCTTTAAAATGTGGGGATGTCAAACTATTTAATTGATATTTCCTTTCTTTGGTCAATGCTTGAGAAGAAGTTGAATGAATATCGAAATGTCAAATCTCATTGAAAATAGAACTAGAAAAAGATAAGTCGAACAATTATATTCTCTACATTGTCATACCTTTTATTTAAGTCTATCTAAGTTATTGTGACACTTACATTTTGTGAAAGTGTTTAGAAGCATTTACAGATATGGAAAATTTCAAAGGAACTCCACAAGGATGGATATCTTTGGAATGTGGAAGTGTTTAATATAGATACACCTTATATTTTTTCCTAGTTGTAAACTAACTCTTGCATAGTGCCAAAAAAATGAATTTGAAGATTGCAGGTGAAATGCAAGAGCTCTATGGATTCATTTTCCCAAACTTGTTATATTAGAAATTAATTGGACCAATTTATTGTCCAAGAGGGACATGAGTATACATAGTTTGGGAGGGACATACATAAATCATCGAGGGGGATGGGTTTAAGCCCTAAGGGAGTCACCTCCGAGAGTAACCCAACCTTTGTCGTTGGAGATCCTATGAAGAAGGTTCAATGTGGTAGAAACAACCCGTACTGCATGATTCGTAATAGCACTATATTATTTGTGCTCTTCCCTATGGTGATATAGTGCTAATAATAATGTAATTTTAGGAAGGGTTTAACCCCGAATGAGTACCGAGGCGAGAATTCTCGCGAAGTGTGGGTCACACACCCTTGGAGGACTCACCTATGTAAGAGTTGTCTTGAGGTCGTGGCTATGAGATTGGGCTATTCCTTAGAGACTCTTGCAAGAATCAAGATTAGAGCGCATGACAATTTACATAACTACCCGCAATGAACTGAGCCTAAATCGATATTGTGTGTGGAACAATTGAAGTTTGGCTAAAGGGACATAATTCAAGGCTTAGTCCATTGTGCCTCCCTCAAAGGGAAATTGTTATCACTAAGTAATGTTGAAGTCCAAAAGACATCTACACCTATTGCACAGTATAATTTTGCCATTATATATATATTTTTGAAAATTTAAAACTTGTGGGGGATTGTCGGAAAATATTTAATTTAAGTTTTAAATTTTCAAATTAGCAATTTGTTGTTTTTATTTTAATTTCAATTTAATACAGAATTGAATTAAATTGTAACATACATATTATAATTTGTGGTAAGTTTCAAATTTCAAATTAAAACCTTTTAATTTTAAGTTTTAACACAAAATTAAAGTACCATAATACATATTATAACTTATGTTTTAATACTATAAATGTTGGGGGTTGAAATTTTACCTATAAAAAGGTGATTGGATTTCATTGTTGAGAAGAAGTTGAATGAATATCGAAATGTCATATCTCATTGAAAATAGAACTAGAAAAAGATAAGTTGAACAATTATATTCTCTACATTGTCACACCTTTTATTTAAGTCTATCTAAGTCATTGTGACATTGATATTTTGTGAAAGTGTTTAGAAGCATTTACAGACATGGAAAATTTCAAAAGAACTCCTCAAAAATGGATATCTTTGGAATGTAGAGGTGTTTAATATAAATACACCTTATATTTTTTCCTAGTTGTAAACTAACTCTTGAATAGTGCCAAAAAATGAATTTGAAAATTACAGGTGAAACGCAAGAGCTCTATGGATGCATTTTCCCAAACTTGTTATATCAGAAATTTTATTACAATTATATATGTGATATTGACTTTTGGAAAATTCTTAGGTGACTTTGCAGATATGCAAATGGGCAGGTGAAGAAGAAAAGCTTTGCAAATTAATAGTACCAATATATTGTCCAAAAAGGACATGAATATACGTAGTCCGAGAGGGACGTACATAAATCATCGAGGGGGATGAGTCTAAGCCCTCAGGGAGTCACCTTCAGGGGTAACTCAACCTTTGTGATTAGAGATCCTATGAAGAAGGTTCAATGTGGTAGTAACTCAACCTTTGTGACTCATAATAACACTATATTATTTGTCCTCATCCCTATGGTGATATAGTGCTAATAATAATGTGATGTTAGGAAGGGTTTAACCCTGAATGAGTACCGATGTAAGAATTCTCGCGAGGTATGGTTCACACATACTCTTGGAGGACTCACAAATGCAAGAGTTGCCATAAGCCCGTGGCTATTGGATTTCGCTATTTGCTAGAGACTCTTACTAGAATCAAGATTAGAGCGCATGACCATTAACAGCGCTACCCGTAATGAACTGAGCCTAAATCGATACTGTGTGTGGAACAATTGAAGTTTGGCCAAAGGGACTTAATTCAAGGCTTAGTCCATTATGACTCCCTCAAATGGAAATTGTTATCTCTAAGTGAGGTTCAAGTCCAAAAAACACCTACACCTATTGCACAGTATTATGTTGCCACTATTATATATTTTAAATTATTTTGAAAGCTTAAAATTTGTGGGGGTATTGTTGTAACTTAAAACAAGTTTCAACCTTTCAAAATATTAAAACACTTTAATTTTAAGTTTTAATAAAAATTAAAACATATGGTAACCTATATTTTAATGGTGTCATTGTAGGGTTAAATTTAT